CTTAATTCCATGAATTATTTTTTAATTTACACCTTTTTGATACATCAATAAACAAATTTAACCCAGCATTTTTTCCATTCACAAGAATTTAATTATTTATTAACAACAATAAGTTATAGCTTTAATTTGCTTATAATTTATTTCCTTAAATTAATCAAGTCTTTAATGAATTCTTTTTATTTATTTAATATTTAATGAATCAATAATTCAACCCTAAACTAACGTCCATTTTAATTATCTTAATAAAGTACTACAAAATGAGAACAAAATGAATTCATGTTGTAATTAAAGTTGCCGCAGAGTATCGGTAATTATTTGATATTCGCCCGATTTTCCCGTGTGCCCGATTCAGCCATAGATTTAAAAATGAAACAAAGAGAGTGACAGTTTCTAATCGATTTCAACCGTATCGTATTTCCCATTGTTCTTTATATGAAAAATGAAAAGAAAATTTTCTTAAGCAAATCCTTTCTTTTTCAAAAAACGATTATTCTCACTTATATAGGACATTAAAAATTGTAAGCAATCAACAAAAATATTTTGATAAAATACTGTGATCATCTCAAAAGTCGTCGATATAGGAGGACCTAAAGCAGAGCGACTACGACGATCTGAACGAACTCAGAGGAAGACCTAAAAAGCGGTGGAAATATGACATATGGCAGGATCTGAAGAAGATGAGGGATGTGAGGCATGAGGTGGAAACCATGGTCAGATGGAAGAGGCTAACGTCCGAGACCAAAACCAACCCCAGGTTGTAGTGCCCAAAGATCAGGACCTTGGTTAGTAATAATAGACATTTATGTTTCGTTAAATAAAGACAAAAATGCGTGGTGTTCTACTTATAGACTTTGAGGATAACTCAGCTCAAGTTAGCTGCCATACACAATTTAAAAATTTCTTTACCAAATTTATTCTTGAAATAATATTTTAGGGATACAAATAGCACTCAGCTTTCGTTCCGAAACGAAGATTAGAATCTTGGTTCGCAATGGTGAACAGTTGTTGTGAAAATAACGATTTTGAATGTGTATCGGACTCTTAGTCTGATAGCGAGGATCAACTGTTGGAAGATACAAACGATCAAATTTAAGACGATATTGGAAGAGATAAAAACCTGAAAACTGACATGCAAAAATTGTATTCCCATTGTTGCAAATTCAGGATTCAAGGAGATCCCTTAGAAATATTTAAAATGAGCCAGCTCTGTTCAAAAATTTATATTTCCAACTAAAGCAGAAATTTATTTATTTTTGGGATTATGCCTACTTATTCCACATGTCAAGTAACATATAAAAGATATTATTGGTCCAGAAACTTTATTATTGAAACACAAATACTCTACCAGTGTATAGGACGTAATAGATTTACAGATTTGTTAAAGTATTTTCATTTTGCAAACAATTCTAATCCAAACGTGAATGACAAGCTATATAAAATACGATTTGTTATAAATATTTAAAAATACATTCAAACAAAGCCTTTATCCATTTCAATCTTTGCTCATTGCTGAAATCTCATGCTAACATTGGGATATTTGTGGTTTAACCAATTTAACTATTTCGGATGTTGAAGCTGCTTTTCCTATTCCACCACGTGAATTTTTAGATATATAAAATTTACATTTTGCCATTTTCTCATTAGTTTGGTCAATACGCTTCGTATTTTACTGTGTCCACTCAATTTTATTTTATTGGACTAGAATAGATAAATACAATCGTGTCCGCAAACAAGTCGAAATTCGCAACTAACTGTCGAAACGAAACAAACTGCGCAAACCCGAGAGAATTGAGAATTATGTGAATCCTTTAACATTACCCGGTCGATTATTCGGTTCCCGATACCCGGTATATTATAAAATAAGGATGAAAACAGTAAACATAATTGAGATATACAAATCCACATATTTACAAGCGATCGTGGAAAGATACATAAAATAAAATGGAAAATTTGAGTAGGGGTTCATCGGCTTGGAAAAACGCTAAGAAAAAATGAAAAGGAATTAAGAATAAGATATTTGAGATCATAAAGGCGAATATATAAAATAACGTTAATACGGAAATCTTTAAAAGTTCAAAACCTATGGAATTTACGACAAAACCAAGCGTATAACAAAGAAGGGGATTGTGCCCAAGGCTATTCATAACGTATATTAGTGGACTAATAAGAAACTGTAAAATGGGAGTAAACAAATTTTTAATTGGATATGGAAACCTGAAACTTATTGAAATTTCAAGAGCAGCATTTGTGGATGGTGTGGTTATTACAACCATAGTTAAAAACGAATTGAAAGCTTTAGAAAATGATGTGGACCTTTGGAAGAATTTCGAATGAGGATGAGTAAAAACAAAACGGTTATATAGATATTGGACAAATTAAACATTTTAAATACTTCTTGGTGGAAATGGGTAATTACGAAAAATACAATAACGAGATAATATTAATAATTGAGAAAATTTATTACATTAATAATCTATTTATTTTACGAAAAGAAATATCCTAGAAGAGATAATTAAATGTTTAGACACATCTACAAAGGATGCAGGATACAAGGTAAATTAACACCAGCATTTAAATCACGAGGAACATATTTTTTGTAAAAACCATGCTGTCGTCATTGACAAAATCTCGGAAAATGGAGGCCAAAATATAAACTGTCTCGTTTTTGGAATCAGGTTGATCTAGGAAACAGTAACCGAATACGCGAGAAAATGCCTTTAACAAGATCACGAAGCACGACAGTAGGCAAAACGTACGAGAAGAAACTGCACCAAAAGAAACACAATAACAATTTGATAAAAAAAAACATTGTCAAAATACCATGTGAACAAGAACTACTATATAAACATGTGTATGTTGCTGTATGTGTATAATGCGGGTGTAACGTGTTTAAGTTCAGTATACTTATCTACTTAATAGTGGCTGTGAACTTATTCGACATAAAACAAAACTGTCGTTTGTAAACAAATCGTTGTTATGTTTATTTGCCTTTACGTAATTTATAATTTTAAAATTAGCTTTTATTTTGTTGTGGCGCTACATGGAAAAAGTAACGTTTTTTATGGTAATATATTAATTAATACTACCACTAACACTAACTTCCATTATATTATTTATAGAGCATTATATTATAGTTAACACCTGTGGAAATCTAAATTTCAAAAACAATCTTGGGAATATTTACAAGTTTCTTTACAAATGACTCATTTACTGCCTCCAACGTCGCTTATTGAAATTTGGACAAAAAATGTGCAGGATTCCAAGTTCAACGAGTTACTGACCTATACTTTACAACAATTGAGAAACCTAAATTCAGATGAGGATTTAACTGTTTAAAAAAATACGTTAAAAATGTTTTGTCAACAAATTAACACCGACACCGTTTTTTTTTCGCACCAACTCCTCTGGACTTTACAAAAACATTGTTTTTTCTCAAGGTATATTTAAATTACAATTACACGTAACACCGAACGAGGTCCACTTATAAAACCATGTATACTTAGTATTCTTCTAATAATCTTCTCTATTATTCTGCAATTAATTATGCATAATTTTACAATTAATTTTGGTTCTTCTATCATTTTTTCTTCTAGTATTGCTTTATCATACTGCTCTTATTCTTACATTTGATACAAAGCCTAAAATCGATTTGGCGCAGGTTATACTTTGATTTTTGTCAACCAGTATCTTGTTCACATATATTTTGTGGACTTCTTGAAAATCGAAGAGGATTCCGGCACGCACTGGTCGTCTACTTTCTATATTTAAGTATGTTGTCTCTACGCAATTAAATATGTTGTTTTTTCTACCTTTATCCACTGACGCTACTGACTTTATTCAACTTTGTAAAGTTGTTGTAAATGTGATGTAAATACTTTGTAAATATGTTGTCAAGCATACAAAAACAAAAAAGTTATGAGTAGATATTAAACAATAATTTTTGAAAATTTACATGTTTTATATTATCAACTCGCAGTTTTCTTCAAATATCTATGAAGAGCAGAATTTCTTCAACCAACGTAAGGAAACCTTCACATATAAAGTACTAATTGTCTCAGTTATTTCCTCAAATGATTTGTGATTATCGATAAAGGATTCCATAATTGACATTGTATCCGAATACTCAATTTTCCAGGTATTTCGCTTATTAAATTTACCGGATATCCGTTATCCAAGACTTGAAAATACAAAGATTCATCACAACTCTAGTTTTATCGTTAACATAAGCACAAGTAAAGTTTACATTCTCATAACAATAAAGATTTTGTATATTTACCATTTTATTATACATTAAACCTACACAGATTGTTGGCATAAAATAATATAGTCTAGAAAATATTCCTATGAATAATATGAGTATGGTAAAATTCAAAAAGTATTTGCTCATTTTTAATTAGCGATATATTACCAACCCTATTCGCAAATATATCGATAATCAATTAAGGAGGATAGAAGACAGTCTAGACTACTAGCACAGTACATAAAGAAATGTGTAATAAAGATTATCTTTAATAAATTTATCTCATAGAAATCAATATTATTTTTTTATATATTGCTTTTTTCTAGATTTTATCTAACAAAGTTTTTTTTATAAATAACAAACAAAATCTGTATTGTTTTATATAAAAAAAATTTTGTTTTAATTTTATTCATGTTATAACCATAACACAAACAAAAGTAAAGTTTATATTCTCATAACAATAAACGTTTTTGTATATTTACCACTTTATCTTTATTATTTTCGCCGATGATTTGTTTTGAAAATTTCAAAAACATAAATTGTTATAAACAATCATCTAAACGTACGTCAACCGCCCACAATCTATATTCCAAGTTTAGGATTTAAGGTTTAAATTAATTTTCTAATAATAAACATTATTATTTTATAACGACCTTCGTTAATATGATGAGAAACAAACACTAAAAAAAAGTCTCATCGCCTGATAAAGATCCGCATTGTTCCCACAAAGATTAAAAAGTTTTTATTTATATTGTCTTACCTACTGCGGGGGCGTCATATGAATCTCCAAGTAAAATTTCCGGTGCAGAATACGCTAAGCTTCCGCACGAAGTTTCCAATTTTTGTCCGGGGCAAAACTTATTACTAAACCCAAAATCCGTCAACTTGACAACACCCTGTTTTTCAAAAAACACCACGTTCTCCGGTTTTAAATCCCTGTGTACTACGTGCAACTGGTGGCAATAAGTTATCGCCCTGACAATTTGCCTAAAATATTCTCTGGCAACTTGTTCAGAAAGACCAGCTTCGTGCCGCATAATATAATCGTACAAATCGCCTCCATCACCGAGTTCTAAAATCAGGTACAGTTTCGTAGCGGTGTCAATCACTTCGTAAAGACGGACGACGTTCGGGTGTTGAACGAGTTTCATGCACCTGACTTCTTGGAAAAGATGGGCTTTCGAAACATCGTCCAATTTACTTTTATCAATCACTTTGACGGCCACTTTTTCCCCGGTAAAGACGTGTTTCGCCAGTTTAACGACGGCGAAATGGCCTCGACCCAGAGTTTCTTCCAAGTCATACAGACCGGCAATTTTCCCATCGTAGACACGACCTGTTGTTGTTGGTCTAAGACTTGGCATTGGACTTGGGCCCACTGTACCACCGCCATAAGAACGGTGCATAGCTATCTGTAAACAATAAATTTAATTTAGAAACTCAAATATCTTTATATTTGGAATTTATAAATACTTAAAACTAATTCAATCACTTAAACCGTTAAGTTAGAATTGCTTCCTACAGTTAGATGGAAGTAATTTAAGTTGAAAGGAACAACTATGTTTGGAATTCACTGTTTGACTCTCAATTAATTTATTGAATAATTTCATTGATACTTCTTCATTAACGACGTAATTACTTTAATTTTTTTATGTGGAGATAAATAGTTTTCTTGTTACTTACCACGCAAATAGATTTGAATATGGATTATTTATCGTAGGGTATTGAGAATATAAATTATATAGGAAGAAGAAAATAAGACATGCATTGTCGACTGAAATAGAAAAACACCAGACGGAAGTCGTTAAACAAATTAGTGTTGCACAGCACGGTATCAATGAACCTGCATTGAAATGTGTGGTTGTGGCTTACGCAACTTACGATACATTAGAAAATTAAAAACTTATAGGAAATTATTTTATAAATATTGTGCTATTGAATATTGCAGTAATTATTATAATTACGGTATAAAATTTTTATTTAATGTTTATTACAAATTAGGATTAATTTTTTTTAATGAAAATTTGAAGTCAATGAAGAATTATAGTGCCATTTAACATTTTAAGAGAAATGTTGCACTTGATTAAAGAGAATAGATGAATTGAACCAGTTTAAGGTACTGCTTTTTCTAATTGAGCACAAATATCGCTGTGTAATGGCACAACTAATCAGACAAGTCCTTACAGTGAAATTATAAGACGTGGATAGCACCCAGCTCACTAAAAATGTTGTGGCCTAGTTGCCACAACAGCGCAGATTACTGGTTTCAAGGAAAGAGTTCGCATGTGAACCATCAGTCTGAGGAATTCCGAATTCCGAATGAGGTGGTTGTGATTGCAATCAAACCCAGATATAAACATAGAACAATAAAAGTATCAAACATGTTATCTGGAAAATGGCACTTAGAATGGCCGAAATTGTTGCAAGTATCGGTGCATGTATATTCAATGAGGGACTGAGAAGTATATTGCCATTGACAATTCAAACAGGAAGAAACGCACTACAAAAAAAGATCTAATGTATGCGGCAATATGTAAGGGGAAGATCTGTTGTATGGTTCGGGAATTTACGATTTTGAACATCGAGTCAGTTGAAAACACATTGATTTTTTAATTGGTATAATCATGTGACTTTAAAGTAGATAATTAATGTAATTAACACCAAAAATGTATTTATTCATTTTTAAACACAAATGTTTCTAAACAATTACTTTATGTTTTATAAAATAATGTAAAAAAAATGAAAGCCATATGAGTCACACCATATATGTAGACATAAACAAGCCAATTTAAGCTATTTCTGTCATTCGTCTAATCGGAATTATATAGGATGGCGTTATTACGGAAATTAAAAGTTTTAACGTTATATTATTAAAAATATTTTAAAAATTGCTTAAGTTAACGACTATCATAAAAAACTAAAAACATTAAGTGTAGTTACTTTTTATATCATTTCCACTCATTATGAACAGTAGTAATTTATATTCTATTACAAGGACTGGAAATTATCATTGATAAATTTATCATTGGCGGTTGATCATGCTATGTTGATAGGGCTAAGCATCAACAAATTAAATATAAAATTAGACAAAAAAAAAACAGTTTTTATAATTATGTTTTTTAATCCAGGATGTTGGTTTCTTGTCCAGTGTTGTTACTCCAAAAATGTCTTTAATGAAAATATTTTGCTTATTACTGTGCTATATGTTTTCTGAGAGACTAACGATTTTATCTTCTATTTGGGGTTTGTGCTAAATTCTTAGTTTAAACACTTTTAATCAACCATTAGAAGAAGTCATGAAATATCTAGAAACCCAAGGGAACGGCTATCGCTTAATGTAAGAGGTGATTTCATCCTGTTCTAATTAAAATTCCATTCAGAAATTACTTGAGTTGATTACTTGATATGATCCTTCGAAGTGATCTTTTTCATTTCCTTTTTTGAAATTTTCCATTTTTATTTTTATAAAAAATATATTCAATGTTGAAAGTAATCTTATTACGTGTATTCTAATTCATCTTTTGGAAATTTTTAGTCGCTTATTTTATAACGAATGTAAAATGTATCACGCGAATAAGTTGGTGAATAATCCGAAGTTAAACCAACTCTCTATGACAAGTTATTAAGGTTTAAGCATCAAATAAATTTAAGTATCATAAGGCAGATTTCTTTATAATAAAATAATAATGATAAAATTATAAACGATTATTCGAGATATATCGAAAAAGGTAACATTTGTATTGAAGCGTTTGAAACTGTTATTATAGAAAACAAATTACAACCAGATATCAATGTATAATATCTACTTATTTATGGAAAGCGATGAAAAAGTTTAGAACGATCTGGATATATGTATAACACGTGTTGAGACCATGTATCAACGATTATGTCTATAAAAGCAAACGAAAAACTTGTTGTGTTATCAAAACATACATCGCTGAAATATAATATTAAAGAAAATTGTAATAAACGAAATTCTGCCTTCTAGTTGGCGATTCCAAGCCTTCGATTATCTCTGGCTGGTTGATAACGCCATGAATGTTCTCTTCCCTTCATATTCCAAACTTCAATTACAAGTGTTTCCCTTTTTGTACAAACGGGTAACAGTGCTTCGTTTGATTTCCATTTCTTATTAAAATATGAAGACTGTCATTATAATTGGAGTACAACTACAGACTGAAATGTTAACAGGTTTTTAACAGAGTTTTAGATGTAGTTAATAGCTAGCAAAAATACAGAACAATATAATCTACTCTTATCTCATATAATACAAATATGTTTACCATGAATTGATCTACACAATTCAAAAAGTGCCAAATATTGCATACTTTTGCCAGTATTCTTTTTTGACACGTCGATCTCGGGAGTTATTATTTGACAAATATGATTATGAGGGAGACACGGTATGCAAAAGCGAAATGATTCACTACTTGTAAGATAGACTTACATCTTCTTTTAGGGCTATGTAAGCATACAAAATTACATTAATGTTTTAGGTTTTCACATGCTTACATGGGATTCTTATTTATCTTATTTGCCGAATTTCAATTAATCGCATTTTATTAAAAACATGGAAGAATTTTGCTATTGTGAATTTAACGTATTCTTTGGTGATCAACAAGACGTTTTACGAATTAAAGCCGTAAAGTAACTTTTCTCTTTCGGGCGTGAGAAAATATCTTTCACTTCATTGCGTGAATTTACGTTAAACTACAACAATAGATTTAAGTCCTTTTCTTCTTCCGAAAGCAGAATTTTAGCTGTTAAGTTGCCAATGTTGCAATCTACGAATTAAATTTAATTCTAATTTTATTCCGAGCGGGATAACAGGATTGCTAATACCAATGCAATACTGCTCTAAGAACCTTGATTATATTCCTAGAACCTATCTATTCAAAGATTTTATTAATTTATAGACGTAGAGACGAAAATAGCTTAGGAGTAGACTCATTATAATACTCTGTAAATAATTGTTACATGATTTTCCTTTTATTGGCTTTTTCCGTCTTTGGCTTTTTTATTTTTTCTTTTCATTAAATAATCCTTTACATTCAGTTTAATAAAATAAATTCTTAAAATAATAAAATTATGAATCTAATCACTTTTGGAAGCAGTGGAAGATCGGATGTTTGGCAATAAGAATATTGCCCAAAGTCAGGAAGGAACATCGTTTTAAAATGTTTGGAAAAGTGGAAATTGGTCGAACTCTCCAACAACAACAACAAAGCTAAACATGTTTGAAAACAGCTATACCTATACTTGGGCGAGAAGAGCAAAATCTTGTAGAATCTCATCACAGGAGATGAATTTCATACCTTCAATACATTTTACTATAAATTCAAATGCGATTACAATCACGATGAATTTTAAACGTTAAGCCGTCTACCCATCAATGGGAAGGGTGTTAATCTCCGCAACCGACGACTAACCATCACACACATGTGGTTATTGTTAATCACAAATGTGTAGTTGATGTTTGAAACCATGGGCTGAATAGACGTGACAGCGCACGTTGAGGTTGTTCCTGGGTGGACCGGAACAAGAGTTGTGGTCCATTGGTCGGCTTTACGACTGATTGCGGTTATAGCCGCTCGATAACATCGACAAAGGAATATCACATAGAGCACATTGGAACCTAAATGTTGTATATAAAATACTCTCTTGAAAATACTACATACATTTAACAACCAAGCGTACTAAAATTAATAAATTTATTTATTTCTATTTAGTAATGTATAAAAAACGCACCGTCTAGACGCACGTGCATGAATTTGTAGCGAATGTCGATCGGGACGTTCGCCAATGTTTACGTTATAAGCATTTTTATATTTAAAAACAAAAGTTTCCGTTCGTATTTTTTAAATCAAAATCTCTTGTTACTTTCATTTTCAGTTTTTATAAAAAAAATAAATTTACTTTAAAGTCAATTTTAAATTTTAATGTTTATGTACACATTCGAGCAGCAATTTAACCAATTAATATCAAGAGAACCGCGACGGAATAGCATGAATGACATCTCTCGACCTTGTAATGACGCAATGACGAGTTTGTCCAAGCATAGCTAAAGTCGGGACATTTAAGTTTTTTCTTTCTGTTCAACAGTGAGGCCTCCTCGTTGTCGTCGCCGTCAACTACCGTGTTCCCTTGTACTCGATTCGCAAAGTCATAAATTGTCGAACGTTTAGCTTTAATCGGTTTGAAAAACGACGGTTAATTTCCGGTACGTTGAGTAAGCACTTCCAGCCCTAACAATATCCAAGTTCTCGAGTTGATCGATTGATTAATTAGTATTCGGTTTGAAAAATTATTCGATTTTCTAGAATTGTTAGCTACACGTGAGTTTGTCATTAGTAACGCTGTCACTTGCTCACCGTTCTAAAGAAGTGAGTGGAAGTATTTATATGTGTATGTG